TCTTTGGCATCGTCACTGAATGTGTCTCTGTGAATATGCCATCAGCCCTCCAAATCTTCCAACGATTATATTGTGCTATATCAGGTTGCTGTATGAGATTTAAAATTTCTTGATAAAGTGGTACACATCTCTTTGCTGATATGTGTGTATGGATACACACTCCAACACTTTTTTTACTCAGAGTAGACTCGTTTAAATTAATACCCTTGAGCTAGTCACGTCGATTAATTTCATTGGGACTTAACATTGAATTCCTGACATGGCAACAGGGATCCGGTAACTCCCTGGAGCTGTTTGTCACGGCAAGGGCTATAATTTCTGTCATAAAGGTATGCCTTTATTTGTGTCTGTCTTGAAGATTCAGGAATTGCAAATAAGTTCCAGCTACCTCTTCTGCAGTCTCTCCTTTACCTTGCTTTTACAGTGGTACCTCTGGTTATGAACTTAATTTGTTCTGGAGGTCCGTTCTTAACCTGAAACCATTCTTAACCTGAGGTACCACTTTAGCTAATGGGGCCTCCCGCCGCCACTGCGCAATTTCTGTTCTCATCCTGAGGCAAAGTTCTTAACCCAAGGTACTACTTCTGGGTTAGCGGAGTCTGTAACCCGAAGTGTTTGTAACCTGAGGTACCACTGTATTTCAGTGGAGCCCTAGTGGTGATGGGAGCTGATAAAGTGACTGGGACCACAGCTCTGGGGAAGGGGCAGTAACCCTTCCTCTCCTGCTATTTTCCTGGTCTATTAGCACCTACTGGAGACCACCACAACTGAGGTACCTGTTGAGATGGCTAACCTTGGTCCATCCAGGTGATGCTGTGTCAGTAATTTCATTCCCCATTGCTGATGTAACATGATATCCATGTTTACATTCCTGTACGAGAACGGAAGTAAACTTCTGTAACTTCCGCTCTTTGTTCTCTCCGCTCTCATGCAGAGGAGACCTGTGTGTGAAGCACTCAGCTCACCCTAGCTATGCTTTGTTGTTTTAATTTACTGTAAAGAAATAAATAAATTCGGAATGCTACATATCTGAACAGTCTGCTTCCTGCTGAAACTCTGCTGCAGCCCGGAGGGGTTTTTTTCTACCTCCCCCTCACAGGGAGGGCTGGCAACATGCTGGTCTGCAACTCCCATCATCCCTGAACATTGGCCATGCTGGTTGGCACGGGTGGTGCTTGGACAATCCCTGCTGTAACACATGTTTTAAGATGTTGCCCTGACAATGTTAACCACTGGCTTCATGGACCACATCTGTTTTTCATTAGCTGTCCTATTTTTCCTTGCATGGGGTTGCTCCATATTCCATACTCCCAAGGATTTGATGGAGAGAGCAGTGGTACCCTTTAAACTTTATGCCAGCCATGCGAGATCCTCTTATCTGTGATTAGACCTCATTCAGCCAAGGCATGCATCTGAATGACTCATCTGTATTGGGTGATGAGATGGGTTTTCACATAAAACGTATCTTTCGTTAGAGGGGACTAGAGGAAGTAATGGACTATTATTCGGCATGCATAACATAATGAGAACCAAATGCCTCTTAAAAGTTATATTGCCTGTAATTCATATAATATATTGGCCAGTTCCAAGAATTAAAGCTATTTTGGGATACGTCTGTCCCCTTTTTGATGTCAAAATGATCAAAGCAGTTAAAATGTTAGGAGCATATTTCATGAAGCATCTCAAAGTGTATTTGTCATGGGTACCCTGAAGAATATAAACCCATTTATATTGATAGACATCAAAAGTTTAAATGCTTTTAAACATGTTCCAGCTACAGCTTCCCATGACATCTTGATTGCTGCTTTATTTACCTTATGAGTTGCCTGCAAGATGCTGGACTTGTTCAGATGTTATGCTAAGCCGTATCATTGCTTCCATTTTTTAAATAAATAAATTATTATTATTATTATTATTATTATTATTATTATTAATTATTTATTTATACCCCACCCATCTGGCTTGGTTTCCCCAGCCCCTCTGGGTGGCTTCCAACAAAAGATTAAAAATACATTAAAACATCAGTCATTACAAACTTCCCTGACATCAGATAGTTGTTGATCTCCTTGACATCTGATGGGAGTGTGATCCACAGGGTGGGCGCCACCACCGAGAAGGCCCTCTGCCTGGTTCCCTGTAACTTCACTTCTTGCAGTGAAGGAACTGCCAGAAGGCCCTCAGCTTTGGACCTCAGTGTCTGGGCTGAGCGATGGAGTGGAGACGCTCCTTCAGATATACAAGGCCATAACAATTGTAATAATTACAATTATTTTAGTCTCACCCTTGATCAAAATTCAGAGTCGCATTCATGGTCTTCCTACTCTGCTTTTATCCTCACCACAAAATCCAAGGTCATCCAATGAGCTTCGTGGCTTAGGAGGATTTTGAATCCAGCTCCAGCCTTCACACTAATCCTACACTCTGAGAAGGAACATAGGAAACTCCCTTATATATGGATAGATTGTTTGTTCACCCAGCCTCTGACAGAAAGCAGCTCTCCAAGGTCTTAAGGTTAGATAGTGCTTTTAACAAAACTTATTTATTTATTCCAATAAATTTATATACCACTTGATTGTAGAAAAAACTTGAAAGGGCTTGCAAAAAAAATTAAATCTATCACTAAACAAAATTACAACCGTAATTTAAAACATACGTAAGGTTAAAATCGTGATATAATAGACTAAAACAAATTAAAACTCCTACAAACTTTATAAACATCTGGGTAGACTTCTCTAAGTAAGAATGTCTCCAACAGGCTCTGAAAGTGCTAATTGAGCTTATTAATTGGAGGTAGTTGGGATTAGCTGTGGCATCTTCTGGAGGTAAAAGATGTCCTCTACTACTGAGCTACAGTTCCGCCCCTCTAAACACTACATTATCCCGTTTCTCTGGTTTTATTCTGTGTGCCTCACCATACTTTTAATATCTAGATAAGAAGATGGGGTTTGAAAGAGAAGAAAAGGGAAATTATTTAATGTATGTTGTGGCTTATTTTCTCTCAGCAAGCATCAATTGGACACAGCTCTTTTTAATGCCTTTTTTTTATATATATAAAAAACTCCACAAAGATTTGAAATACATAAAAACAACGTTAAAAATTTCACTGTAATTTTTTTATCCTTAGGCAAACTTGCTGGAACAGCCGCTGAAATTAAATTTGGATCTCCCTTCGCTTTGGGATCCATTCCAGTTTTTCTCTGGTTGAAATGTGTGCACACGCTCACACTGTTATAGTACAGGAAATCTGAGTGAAAAACAAATCTAATTTCCTTCTCTTACCTCTTTTGTAAGCATGACGTGGGGAACTGCAGCTTTATCATTGGCACAGGGGCCTCACTTTATGTCTTTGGATGTCAAATATCCAAACCTTAAGCACCTACTGAAAGTCATGCAATACATAATGCACCCTTAAATCTAAATGTTTGATGTTGACATGCCTGTTTATTGCATATAGCCCTGGAGCCTTAAATTGGAGAGATATTGCAAATTTATTATTTGTAAAATGAGTGTACATTTTCTGCAACAAGAATCACCTGCATCTGAGCCCGGCCTTGGCTGGGGAGGGCGGGGTATAAATAAAAATTATTATTATTATTATTATTATTATTATTATTGATTTATACTGTTGGTATTAGGAATCACAGCATTTAGTCAAAGAGGAGGACAGAAAAGTGAGCCAACAGGTGAATCCTGACTGGCTTAATTGCTAATCAGATCCTGTTTCTGTTATTTTTATTTTATTTTTGCTGCAGGCCTTCTTATATAGAAGAAAATGACCATAATAGGCATAGTCTATAACAAATAATACCATTACAATAATATTATTATTTTCATTGATTTATTAATCACCTTTTAAACCACTGCCTCAATATAATTAAAGACACAAAGACAACAGATACATTTAAAGCAAGACTAAAACCCTAATAAGAGGACGCTTGTGGCAAAGACCCATTTATACAGCTGGGGATTTGCTGCAAAAATTCTTCTGATGGTGGGCCTTGGTCTGATCCTGCAAGATGCTTGTGTACAGGGCCAGATTTAGGTTTGATGAGACCCTAAGAGCTACTGGAGATAATGGGGCCCTTTATATGTCCAGCTGTCCTTTGTCAACAACAAATTACTTTCAATGGGAAAGCGTGCCTTGGTTTTGGAACGCTTTGGTTTTGGGACAGACTTCTGGAACGATTAAGTTTGAGAACCAAGATACCCCTGTATATAGAAATGAGCAAACCAGTGATATTTTAGGGAGCAGGCTAGCAGGCGGGGCCCATTACTTACATCATAGGAGCCTACACAACACAAAAGACTGTTGCTGTATGTAGGTTTTATTTTATTTGTTTTTTATCTTATATTTTGGAAATGTATATCCAGGTTTTTTTCTTTAAGTTTTGGGGTGCCACCAAGAGAGTGGGGCCCGAAGCTATAGGTTGTTTAGCTTATACGTAAATCCGGCACTGCTTGTGAAGTGGAGTTCTTTTGCAGCCTGAGATCCTTTCTCTTGAAGATGCTGGGGACTTATCCTGGAAAGTTCTGCATGAAAAGCATACGAGCTTTTGCCTTTCCCATTGCTTACTAAATGATTGTCATTTCTGCTAAATCGGAGGTGCCAGAACTGAACCTCGAATTTCTGCATGCAAAGTACATTTTCTGCCACTAAGCAAAAACCCCTTCCTCAAACCGCATCTCTAGTTTTGATTCAGAAAAGGGTGCTTTATAATGTAGGTAACACTTTGCTTCAAAGAGTTGCTCAGAGAGCAGATTTCCCTAGGGGAAGCCTTCTCCATCGCAGTGGGGCATCAGTGATGGTGGAAGCCTTGCAAGGCAGAACTTCCTCTACTGTGGAACGCGGACAGGGATGGGGGAGACCTCTTAGCAACACAAAAAGTGGCTCCCCTTATTTCCATGAGTGTACTGTACTCATGATCACAGAGCTCTTTGCTGGTGAGTCTTATTTGTTGGATCATAATAACCTATTGGTTCTCTCTTATGTTTCTGTGCAGATATTTATCTTTGAGAACAACATCTACTACTGTGCCCATGTGGGGAAGCAAGCCATCCGCGTGGTCTCCACTGGGAAAGACAAGGTTATTTTCAATGGACTCAGCGACTGGCTGTATGAAGGTAGGATGGGAGGTTTTAAAAGCACTGCCAGCCCTTGAGTGTTTGCAGTGGACCTGTTTGTTGACAGAGAGTGGGGGGTATTTAATGAATGATCCCGAGCAAAAGCTGTAGTTTTCTGTGAAAGGCAGAGTTTCCTGGACAACCTTGATTTCTACTTAGGGGCTTCATGACACATCAATTTAGAAGTATCATTCCACTCTGGTCCCTCATTACAATTCTGAATATTCTGTGCCCCCCTTCTGTCTGATTAGCACTGGGTACGCATGGTGTCCTTCCTTAGAGTAATTGGATCTTGTCCATAAACCTCCAGTGGCAAAGGGTGCTGCTAAGTGACACTTACTTTGATATCAAAAAAGATTTTGACATTTATATTGAAAAATGTGTGAAGAATCTAATAATAAACTGACCTTTTCCTGGTAAGCTTTTGGGTACTACAGTTGGCCAGAGTGACTGATGAGGTGCTGCAAGATGTTAGTTGTGAATACAGTTTTGGCAGCCACTATTTAATAGCCAATTGCTTTTTTATTTAGATGCATGCCTCTCTCAGACACCACTCTTTCTCTCATGGGCTTTGAAGTAACACAGTGCTTCATTTGGAATGATGCAATCATTCCCCTCAAAGCCTGAAAAAATCTAGAGTAAGTGGATGAAAGGAGAAAAGGATGGGGGAAAGATGGCAAATACGAATATTGTATTATATCCGATTTATATCCTACCCTTACTCTAAAGTGCTCATGGGGTTATTCCACTTTCTCCTCATGGCATCACTGTTTGGTAGGTTAACCTGAGATATGATCATTGGCCCAGCATCCTGGAGTGAGCTTCGCAAATAAGCAAGGATTCCTTGCTCCATCTTCCTGCCCACTGCAGCAGGCTAGCTTTACAAACCTGTCCCTACAGTTATCTGCATCAGAAAGTTTGCTTGGTGGATAGCTAAATGTCCTCTGAGACTGTATCCTGCCCCTGGAAAACTGCTGATTGAGAGAAATTATAGTGATAGCAAGCTTAGAGGGCAGAGGCTAAGAGGACAGTGTTGCTGACGCCTATTTTTATTCCATTACTGGAATGCTCAAAATGTTCTTTTAACTGTCATTGACTTTCAAGCCAGTCCTTTATGAGGAATTGGCATAGTGAAGCCACATTCATCTGCTGAGATAGCAAAATGGCACTGAGATCCAATGCAGTCTCCTTCCCTAACCCACTTGCCTTCAGATGTCATTGGACTACAACTCCCATCAGCCATGGGCAGCGATCACAGATTAATAGAGTTGTGGGCCAATGATATCTGGAGAGCACCAGGTTGGGGAAGGTTAAAATGCAGCTTGCAGATCCTGATCTGAAGCGGGGATGTCACTAAAAGTTAGCTGTGGAAAAGGTCACCATCCCATTTTTAATGCTGCTTAAATGAAAGTTGGAGAAACAGGTCCCTCTTCTTTTCAGATGTGATCCGTGTTTAATTAAAGCAAGGCATCACCCAAGTCTTCAGGCTACCTCTCTTCTCTTTCTTTTGGAACACCTGTGACATTTAGAGTGAATGTGGACGTATGCTTTCATTAAATGATGACTGCAGCATCAGCTGAGGTCTTGCATTTGGGAAAAGGCCACTGCAGAGCAAGTGCTTCAGACACTGCTTTCAAATCTCCTTGAATCACCCAAGCACAAGGTCATTTCACCCTTCCAGCTATATTACTCCCCATCCATCCATCCAGCTTCAGGCCCACTTTGTATATCTAGGGGAATCCAGTCATAAAGGTTTTTCACCCTGGTCTGCCCTAGGGCTGAATCGACAGGGCGAGGGGGCTTTTTAGAAAACCTTCCCCCCCCCACACACACATACAAAAAGAAGCCACCTTTCAGCAGTCTTTCAAAGCATACAAAATGGTGAGAAAACATAGGGCCAAAAGGATAGGAAGACACAACTGTGTTGCCGAGGCAACTAGAAAATGATCCCTACCTTCTAGTGCTGTTCTGCATGGACCGTTCAGTCATTCCTCACATCTCCAAAAGTCACAGTTCATCACCTGGTTGCCCCATGGAAAGGTTTCTTGTCCTGTTGCACTATGCTTTTAGGAATAATGGGTTGTATTTAGCTGAGTCCTACTCGGAGTTGTTGTTTTTATCATCCGTCTGCCTCAGGAGACAATGAAGGAGTGCATCTTTGGGGGTGAGGTCAAATTATTGGAAGGTTGCAGTGCCTGCTGTGGCTGTAGAGACTGATAATGGAGAGGCACCCAATGAAATTAATGATACTAAGCTAGTCATGTTCATTCATTTCAGTGGGTCTACCCTAAGTAGGGCTGGCACTGGATGTAACCCAGTGCAACTGCCTCACAGCCATGCCTCCCCATGCCTTCCTTGTCTCCACACACTGTGCTGGAAGGGTAGTTTCATTGATCCTCACAACACATTGTGGAAAGCCGCAGAACGTTTTAGAAATGCGGGAACATGTTCCCACCCTTTGGGGGCATCTGCTTCCAGGGCCCTCAGTGATGAAACTAGGTAACTAAATCTGATTGGCTAAATAGCATCACGACATCGTTATGCTCGCCCTCCATTGGCTGAGATCACAAAGTGAGAGCAGAGAACTTAGCAGCAGGGAAGCACCAAAGATGGGGAACAAAGTGGGTCGGTGTAGTCACTCAGAGCTCCCAGCCAGCTGGAGCTGGAAACAGGAGGTCCAGTTTGGAAGTTTGTATTTGTGGTTAAAATGGGGTGAGTGCAAATGAGCATTACCACTGAAGAGGTGCATGTCTTTATGTGTAGAATGGAAGCTGGAACGTTGCATGTGGGGACCCCGTGATGCATGAAAGGAGATATTTATTCATGTGATGGGGAAATATGGCATCGAAGATCATACCCACAGCCTACATTTAATGCACTCTTATGTCAGTCATGGCTTTCCCTCCCCCTGCCCCCTGCCCAAAATCCTGGGAGCTGTAGTTTGGCATGTATGCTGGGAATTATAGCTCTGTGAGGGTTTCCCTAACAACTCTCAGCTCCCTTGATTACAGTTCCCAGGATTTTTGGGCAGAAGCCACAACTGCTAAAGTGCTTTAAGAGTTCTTTAAATGTGGGCAGCGGATGTGACCGTGTGCCACAAACCCTGCAGTGATTTGCCATTCCTCAGCTCCCCTGAAGCTAGCAGTCCTCTTATTGCCTTCCTTACTTTTGCCCTCTTGATCTGGCAGTCCCTGTGAAGTTGCACTCTTGTGTTTTTACTCTTTTACCCTGCTATCGCTTTAGCAAGTGGCTGTGGCGAGGTGGGTTGCGAACATATGCTCAACCTTCTTCCCATCTGTGCCAGCATTGCAGTGCCATATCATCAATGACTATCCTGAGATGAAGTAGACAGCAGTAACAGCACCCTCAGAGGTGCCCTTCCTGTCCTCTTTGTGTTCTTGTTGTTCCTGGAGACAGTTTGCATCGCCTTACACTAGCAGACCAAGTGCTTGCAACCAGCCAGACTTGGCTGTTTGCCGTGGTTCATGATCCGCTTTATGCTTTTCTCCCACGTAGGATGCAAAGATTATTTTTCAAGCTTCCCCTTTCAAAAGCAAAGTCAAGCTCCTTTTTTTGCAGGGGCAGGTGGTAAATATATGCTTGCAAGATCCCAGCTTTATTCTCCGGGTAAGGTTGCTTTGCATATGCATATTAGAATTTGCAGATTATGGTCCCAGCATTACCACCTTGGTGACACAGCAAGGCACTGAGACAGATGGCAAACCCCAAATAGATGGAAGTTGGTTTTTCATCTTTCTTGGAGCACAAGTGCTTTTGTCACAGTAAAGAAAACACGTTCTGGTATTAATCAGACTATCTCCCTTCCACCCACCCACCTCCCATTTCTTTCGTAAATCCGGAAGCGGATTTAAGGAGTTTTTCTGTTTAAAATGCAGGAGTTCGTTGGTATTCAGACTAATCTTTTTTTGCTTTTGTAAATCCGCCATTGGGTAAACTTTCTTCAAGGTATTATGCTGAACTGTTGACTCCTGATGGTATGGAGGAACAAAAATATATTCAAATCAATCAGCACTGATGTAGTAGCATAATCTACTTAGTGAATTTAGCTGGAAGGTTTGCAAGCTGAGACATAACATGAAAGGACAGATTAAGCCTGGTTTTTGAAGCTAAAATAAACATTAGTATTGCATCTGTACAGTCTGATCTAGGTTCTGTTTTCGCAGCAGCATCCTTTGAGTTTTTAGCACAAAAACCAAAGCAACTTCCAAAGAGGGGAGAGCAAAGGTCTATAACCACCTGTGGAGTCAGCTCCAGATGTTTGTTTGTTTGCAATGCACTGGAGAAATCATTTAAATTAGAAGCAGAACCTGGTTGGCAGATACTTCAGGCCTCCAGCTTGGTATTGGTGCAAGGGAGAGAGACAAAAGTTTGTTGACCTTCAAGAGAGGTTTTGTGGTGGTAATGCAGACTGCAGGGTGTGCAAAGGGTTTTTGCATGTCACCCCAATCTCCGATCTGTGTGAGATTCAAGGGGTTCCAGATCCATGTAAATTTTATGCAGATCTGTATCCGCTTTCATCCTTTATTTCTTTTCTTAGTGATTGCATTCCCCTCCTTTTTTGCCAGTGTGTAAGTGCCCAGGGGGGAATACCTAGTACAGCTGCAGAATAGTGAGAGCTGGGGGAGATCATGCCTGCAATATGGGAAGTTACCCCCCTTTAAAAAAAACTCTGTTCAAGAATAAAAACCACAGAAAACTCATTCTGCACTGAATTTGGCAGTACAACCCAGGCCCACTCAGATGCAAAGGGATCAAAGGTTGGTGTCTAATGTTCAACCACCCAGGCAGTCTTTGTGCAATGTTCCTTGTGCATCCTTATTTTTAAAAAATTGTGGGTACCGGTTGTTTGTAGTTGCAAAACAAGCAATTTTGCCCAGAACAACAATTGAGGAGATATACAATTATCTGTACTACTTGCAACCCCATTTATTAAGCAAAATGCAACTTTATGAGCCTCATTCAGATTAAAGCAAGTCCCA